TCTTTGACTTCCTTTTTTCTTAACTTCCTTCTGTTTTCTACTTTTTTTTCCCGTAACGAAAAGAAAGCAAAAAATACGAAAAAAAAACCTTTTAAGTAGACATCAAGGAGGGCTTTATTAGTAACTGCAAAATAAAGAACACGCTTGGCAGAAATTGCACATTATAAAGGTAAATCAGAAAAAAAACAAGCCATGTAAAAATAATATTAAATTTTTTAAATATTTTAAATGAGTGTATAAAGATTAAGTTTATCTTATATAGTTCCTAAAACGAGTTTTTAATTGAAAGTATGCTAATTAAATAAAAGGGGAAAATGCAAATTTTTGCTAGTTTTTATTTATTTATTTATTCTTTTACTGAGTAGTTAATAAGCAATCGATTATTTATTCTAATTTTATGTGAAGTTTATTTTAACAATTCAAAAGTTTCTACTTGGCAAACATTGTAGTTTTTAGAGATACTTTAAGTTTAATTTAAAGAATTTATAAACATATTATTCATCCATTTTTTTTATTGTATTGTTGTTTTGCTTATTAAGCTCGATTTTTTTTCAGAGCATTGTTATTATATACAAACATAGTGCTCTGTTTATGGAGAATGTGATATTCATCCGAACATCATTAGAATATTTTTATTCTTTGATCGAGGAATCGAATTCCACTCTTTGCTACGTGTCTATCTTTTTCTCTTTCTTTTTAACAATGCGTAACGTGATCAAGTTTTTATTCGCAAGCAAACGCAGACGACTTTCATTAGGGAATGTAAATTAATCACACAAAGGAACGTATTGTAGGGAGAGCGAGTAATTGAGCGGATTAAAAAGAACAAAGAATAAAAAAAAGAAAAATTATAAAAAAAAAAAGAGTCGTTAGGGTAAATTGAAAATTAACTTCAATTAAAGGGTTGTCAGTTTCAGATAGGAGATATTTAGTTTCTGCAAAAGTATCACGGCGCTAATAGAGATACTATCTGTTAGAATTATGAAAAATTTTAATATTTATATTACATAAGTTTAGAGTCTGTAATTTTCTCTTATTATGCAATGATGAAAAATAATTTTTTAAAAAGAAAACTTGAATTTTAACTGTCTGATTTTATAATACTTAAGACATTTTAAATGAGTCATTTTAAATAATTAAATAGTAGCTATATAATAGTAATAGTATAATAATAGTAAAAAAGTATAATTTAATTCCAAGTCAAAGCGACAACCATTTAGGTCGAGGCCCCGTGGAATAAAATTAAATAGGTAANTCATACATAATAATAAGTCGCAAGTTGATACATAATATAGGGAACAAATTGAAGATAAAGAAAGAATATTTACACTATTTACAAATTTACAAAAGGGGGAAGACTCCCTGTGCACTCTCTCGCCTCCCACCGGTATAACCGGGCTCTTTTATAATACTTAAAACATTTTAAATTTTAAATGAATCATTTTAAATAATTAAATGGTAGCTATATAATAGTAATCGTAGAATAATAGTAAAAAAGTATAATTTAATTCCAAGTCAAAGCGACAACCATTTAGGTCGAGGCCCCGTGGAATAAAATTAAATAGGTAAATAAAGGGTTAAAAGCCTTTCTTTTCAGTGTGCGTATAAACTTATTATTTATTTAAACATAATGGATCTTAAATTATGTTATTTTAAATATGTTCCGTGAAGAAAAGTTGTACTATCTTATTTTAAACATTTAAAACAAATCACAGTCGGTGACATTAATTATACTGCCTTACGCATCATCACTCTAATTTTTCGAACTCGCCAGTTTTCAGTTTTCTATGAATTACTCGTAAATGGTAGATAGTAAATGAATATGGAATTATGCATTTAAGTGGAAAAAATACGTAAGCAGTGAGAAAGAAAAGTCCTCAAAGCAAAACGAAAATAAGAAGTAAATAATAAAAAGTTCTATTCAAAATAAATATGTAAATGAATAAAAAAAAATTTTATAAATGATTTTAAAATGTTTAGTGGCATTTGATTTGCACCAACACCGATTAGACATTTCTTTGAAAGTTTTATGAGTCAACTCTAAAAACAGTAATGGATTTCAGATTAAATTAATATGAAATAAGTGTAAATTCTTATCTACCACCTTTGCATATAAGATTTATATTATAATATATATATTATATGTTTATTATATATTATTTGTTAATAAGTAGAATGACAAAAAACAGCACGTAACTTATACGCTCGAAACGCTTTCCAAATACAATTCGTCCCAGCATTCTTATGAAATCTACAATTTTTATGAGTTATGCTACAGTTTATTAAAATCACGTTAAATTAGAATTATTAAATTAACAATCAATTATTGGAGATTTTGGAAACTATTGGTATGCCATGTAATTAAATCAACGTAAGTAAGTACAGGAATATAGATGCTTTTTAGCCTATACATATTAGGTGTAATTTTCTAGGATATAAATTGAATATTTAAAAAAAAATCGGAAGATGATGATACAAAACGAAGTAGTATCTAAATTTATAAGAGTAATCGTATCAGGGGGTCGCAGACGATTAGTTAAAATTTCTCTTTAATATAAAATGCTTATTTCGTAAATTAGTTTAATTATCATACTATTGTATGGAAGTTTTATTTATTTATATACAGTGGTGGGCAAAATTATTTTATAAATCCAAGAATGAGTAGAAAAACATAAATTTTACAACCACTTTAAGCATAAAAATAAAATTTATAGAAAACACGTAAAGTTAAGCAATTGCACGTGACACTTAAAATAAAGCATCATAAATTAAAGAAAAAATTTTTTTTTAAAATTGAAGAATTTAACCTTTCGATTCTCCATGTATTTAAAGTTAGACTCATCTTTATCAACCATTTCTTGCTCTCAATTTTTCTAAATTTTGAATAAAATAAATACTGGTATGGAAAATTTTTATGTTTACATTGTTTTGGTTTGTTCGAAGGAGTTATTCTTTCATAACTACAGCTATTTATTAATTTTCAAGATAAGAATATGCTTATTTTCTCAAGAATATGCTTATTTTCGAAGAATTGATAAATTATATAACATTGTTTCCATTGAAACAAGCATAAAAAGTACATATTTCTTCGACTGGTATTTTATTTTTCCCAAAAATTAATAACCCTCTCTATACAATAGTCTTCGTAAATCACGTGTTTGACATGATTGCCATTTCAGTTATCCTTCACCATAGACATAGAACAAAATGTTGACATTGTAGTGTGTCTTAGATATCAAATTTTGCAACAATTGTTCGATTTCCTCCATTCTATTCATTGAAGAAAATTAAAGCCGACACTTTTTTCAAACGTGTTTGTCAAATAATAAAAAGTAACGGCTGGGAAAAATATAATTATTAAAACGACTTCCTCTCAATATGAGTGGCGCCGTTAGCAATTAAATATCAAGAATATTCTTTCGAAAAGTTCGATATCTTTGGCTGCAAGCCTTGTCTTTGTTTCCTCCCGCAATTAACGAACACAATTTTTTTTCTTATCTCTTTTCTTCATAATCCATATCCGAATAAAAGAACAAATAAAACAAAAGAAGAAAGAAAAAAAAACAACTGAGAAACGGGTTTTAAAAACAATTTCTCGTCTGCACGATGCGAGGCAAACAGAGCGACCGGAACGCGAGTGCGTGTTTTTTCGTGCTATTTTGAATACTATGGCTATGGTTGAATTGCTTTACGACAACGCGGCGCCCGATTCGTATAAACAGAAGAAAGTTCTTCCGTTTTGAAATCGCATTTGTTATACCGTTTCGGTTAAAAAAAAGAGTGGATGTGTTGTGAGCTTTAAAAAAATAAACGAAGGGATTTCGTGTAAATGTTATTGTCTTGAGATATTAATGTGGGTGGTAGATTTTTTTTCCGACTTAACGCTTAGAGTCAAAACATCAGAATTGTTATTAATACACTTTTATTTAAACTGTGTCTGGGGGGAAAAAAACCTATCGATGGCTTGATAATGTTTAGGTTTATTGGAGTTTTTAAAAAATTAAAGTTAATAATAACTAAGGATTATTAGAGGTAAAATAAAATTCACGCTGTAAATATTAACCCATTAAAGGTCACAAAAAAATGTGGTCTGTATATGCATAGTACCTATTTGGAAAAAGTATTGGAACAAATTTTTTAATACCAAATGAAAAAAAAAAATTTCTAATTCCCATCCCTTTCGCTTTAAAAAAGTACTGCATATTTAATTAGAAATTAATTGAATAAAGTACTTAATGTTTAGTTAGAAGTAGTATATTATTAATAAGGTAGGCATAACTATTTCGTTTCAGAAAAACGGATTCTAACCCAGATAGCACCGTTACCAGATTGTAACAAAAATGCGACAGTCACTGAGGCTCATTTGTGGAAGTCACATGTGACTTTTGCAACGTCGATACGTGAATTTTAAAAGGTCACTATGTCCGCTTTAGGTGACGTCACCCAAACGTCAGCATGAGACCACAATGAGACAAATAATTGTCGCATAAACGTCACCGTGTGACATATTTACTTCTCAGCTTAGTGGCACGGTGACCCTAATGAAACGTAAATGTCACCATGTCGCTACACCGTGATCATGTTGAGACGTGCGACAGCTAAATGGTCTCATATTGATGTCTAGGTGACGTCACTAAAGGCGGACATAGCAACAATTTATAACTCACACATCGACGTCGCAGAAGTCACATGTGACTTCACAAAAGAGTCTCCATGATTGTTGCATTTTTGTTGCAATCTGGTTGTGGTGCTATCTGGGAAAGAAGACATATGCTATAAAAAAGCTGACATGTTCAGAAGCAAATTGAAGCACCTTTATGCACGTTGTGTGCATGTGCATGTTGGTATATGCGTCTTCATGCATATACCAACTCTTGTTAGGTAAAAAGAAATATTTTTATCAGCATTGGCTTTGCATTACAGAAATTTGATTAATTATAGAACATAAAGACGGTAAAAATGTAAATTATTATTAAATGTAAAAATTTGTTTTCTTGCAGGTCGTATGATTTCGTGCGCTTGCACGACCAGACAATGTTTAGAAGAAGGAACGAAAACATGCAATACAACAAGTCTCTGTTTCAGTCAATTCTTGGATCGGAAAGATGGATCTGACCCATTGGTCAGGGGCTGCGTTGCTGGCAGCACACCCCTTCTATGCGAAAACAGGCGGCCCGCTATTGGTTTGCATCGACAATGGCCGGTACTCATGTGCTGCAATAAACACATGTGCAATGCCAAAGTTTACCCAACGATGCCAACAACAACAACTCCTTTTATTCTTCCAGGTAAGAATTGTTTGCTCAAGTTGCAATGCTATACGAGGCAAAATTAGTTTATGAGTTATAAACAGCTCTCTCAACAATTATAACAGTAATTTAGCCACTTATTTTAGCTGTTACTAGCGAATTCGGTTTTATTTAATTAATTTTTACAACAGTCATTGAACAGCCGACCCAAATTTGGGTTTGCGACTACTAATGTTTAATTCCATAGCCTTGTAATTTTGAACCCAATCCAGAAGACAAGGGAACTTCTGGATCAAATATCGAGAGAAATTTGCCTCCATGGAGGAATTTTTTTGATGAAACTAACACGCCTTTTGCGTTACGTGGACAAAGAAAGCACGAAAACGTCCCACGGTTAGCCTGAACGCAAGGGGACTCTAACCCATGATCCGTCTACCACTGAAGATGTTTTACTTCATCACTGTGGTCGGTGTTGAGATTGGAATTCGTATCGACCAGCCATTGTTGGGATTCGATCCAGGTTCTCCTCCTTGGAAGGTGCAAGCTTTATCCCTTGAGCCACTATGGCTCTATTAAATTAATTGCTATTTAGCAATTATGCCATTACCGGTATATGGTGAAGTTTAACTCAAAATTATAAAGTGGCTGTAAAATAAAAAGTCGATTTTTTTTAAATTTCACCAGCACTTAAAATGACTATAGGGGAGAGTGGGGTCAATTGTAACATTTTTTACTTGACTATTTTTAACTAACAAAAAATCCAATATATTATTAGTATTAATTGACAGACGAGTAAAGTAAACTATCCTCTACTAGAAAAAAAAATAAATACCTTATTTTAAATGTGATTATATTAGTTATTAACAATTTTTGACAGTCGTGCACTTGTTACAATTGTCCCCACTTACGGGGTCAATTGTAACAGTTCATAAATTCAACTAAAACATAGTTAATTATACATATTATCATAGTTGTGATATATTTTTTTATTGATCAAAATAGTAGTGATATTTTAGGAGTAAAAATAATAATGAGCAGAGACCTAAAGGGTTAAACTTTTAACTTTAAGGGGTTAAAAATTTTAATTTATGCTGTGAAAGGTGACAAATAAAATAATGCACATGCAACATAATATAAATGATATAGGAAACTATTGGTGGTTCTTAAAGAGTTAAGTAATGGTTTGTAAACATAAGATTATTTATTTTCAGCTGTTACAATCGTCCCTTTACTTATTGTTACAATCGTCCCCAAGACGCCATTTCAGCTTCATTTGTTAAAAACAATGCTAGTTAATTAGCAAAACTAATTTTTTTTTATTCATTTTTATTATTAGGTATCCATTTACATATTCGGTTAATAATTTTTATTTGTTTAAACAAAATTACTTTCTTACACTATAATATTCAAAAACCAAAAAAAGTACTTACGTAACGTGAAAATATCTTTTGCGATGTAACTCTTTCAAAAGTACATAAAAATGGTTGCCAGAGGTGTACATGTAGATTTATTAAATACACCTTGTGCGCCACATAGGAACCAAATCTAGAACCCGACACTCGAAATTTTTGCTCTGTTACAATCGTACCCTGTTACAATTGACCCCACTCTCCCATACAGTTATCGGGACATTTATCTACTTATACTTACCATATTAACTGTTAGAGGAAAATCTTTATCAAAGATGAGAGAATTTAGTTACTATGTTTGCAGTATTAACAAACATTGTGATGCCTTACAGTTTAGAATTTCCTCAGCATTACTAAACAAACTTAACTGTATCTTAATGCAACGCAATGTAATGTATATCATAATGACTCATCAGCATTATTAAGCAATTTTAGTAACTATGAACTAAATAATTTAATGTTATAACGACTTTTCACGGTTGTGTTTTAGAGCGTTTTTAATATATACCATTGTTTTTTTTTTCTTTTTCCAGTGACCAGTCATAAGCCAATTCTATTTGAGCCACCATCTTCAGCAGAAACTGGTGTCTTGGAATCCAATGCTTGGTATGTGGTGATGTTGGTAGCCGCTGTCCTTCTATTTGGTGCCCTGGTAGCCATTGGAATTTTTTTCATCACAAGACAATCCACTTTCTTTGATCCGGAATTCGGTGTTGTTGGACCCAACGGTTATGTAAAAGGATGCAATGGACAACGTCCCATACCTTCCAAAGGACTAGAAAACAAACTGGTTTCTGATACGTGATCCGGGCTGACCCCTCAATGTTATCCGAACAAATTTATATAGTACACAGTATCCGGCGGGACACGGATCACTTTTTACATACTATTTATAAGCGCACTAATTTTGCAAATGTGAATAAAGATCCACCATTGAAGACCTTCAAGATTTTCAGCAATATACCGAAATATATAAAATGGGTTCGAAATCGAAATTACATTGATCACTAAAATATGGCACTTACAACTTACAAATAAAACTGAAAACATTAAAATCAGAAACATGTTTACAAATTTTCAAAATGACCACTCTGAACCTTAATGAGGAGCTGTAATAAAGTCACATAATTCTTATGGGCCAAAACTCACCTTCTGATGTTTTATCTCATACCTAAACACAAAGATTTTTGAAGGATGCTACATTTTATGAAGTCTAGCTCTAAAGAAAATCCAAAGTCAAGTCTATAGAAAAGTTCCAATGAATGCAAGCTGGTGTAAAAGATGGCTGCACTTGTTCTATAAAAAAAAATCGGAAGAAAGTGCCTTTCTTCATTCTTCAATGCCTTTACTTCTATGTGCTGCAGAAAAATCACGCAGGAAGGTTCATTCTTTTGTTTCCAAAGAACTTTTTTGACCAAGGAATCTTACCAAATGAGTTTTCGATTACAATTCTTGGTTAGGAGCTTTGTCCGAACTATTTCATGTCATACTGTGCATAAAGAAAATTATGTTATCCATTTTAAATTTAAGCTGTAACTAGATTTTGTTTTGTTGATTAGTCTACAAGGATTTTAATGCTTCATGGGGTCCATTATTAGGTTAGTCTAAATAACTAGATTGTAACTGTAACTAGATTTTGTTTTGTTGATTGGAACCATTATTGGATTTGTTCTCCGTTTGATCTTGGTCACTGTTGAAAGCAGTTTATCTTCACGAAATGTGACTACGTGTAATTGTTCCTATTCATATATGTACCTTCATTATTTATTTCAGACTTTTCATACATTAATGTGATTAAGCATTCATTTTTAGTTACTATTGTATTTGTATGCATTCCTGCTAACTTTTACACTTTGCAAGAAATTTTTTTTTCTGGTGGCTATTGCCTTGCTATCAATAATTGTAAACTAGTATTACACTAAAATACAGCCAACGCATTCAGGGTAATGGAGTGTCTAGCCCAGGGGGCTATCCGCTGCTTCTTCGAAAAATTATTAGATAGAGGGAATAGAGGAGATGAGATTTTGTTGTTAGCTATTGAACGTATATATATAATTCTTTGCAAGCAGGCTTAATATATATACTATTAAATTATTTAAATGTAGTGGTAGTCAAAATAATTTTAAGTCGAATTTATTAAAATAAAAGTAAAATGAAATAAATTTTGGCTACCACATTAAATATAAAAATAAAACTTACGGAAAAGTTAGCAGGTATGTACATCTATTCCATTACGGCCCCAGGCGCCCAGATAAATATTGATGATGATGACATCTATTCCATTCCTAATGAAACATTGTTTAAGTTAAATCATATAGGTTGGCGACAGTTAGAGATATTTTTTTTCACCCTCCTGATGGATTGTTTTATTTCTAATAAACATTATGATTGTTCAGAAAATCATTCCTCGATTTTTCATATTTTGTTTGAAATGTAAACATTTGCCTTACTTTTCGTAGCCGAAAAAGAGGTTCGAAATCTTAGATTTAAGAATATCTTTGTCCTTATCGTGGTGTGAAATTGGTGTATTTTGATATTGGACAACAGGCATATATTTTTGCATATATTTTGATATTGGACAACAGGCATATATTATTGTGAGTACGGTTAACAGTTAAGTCTGTGAAGCCACAAAATGAAAAAGAAAAAATCAGCGCTGTCAATAGCTGATTCAAGTTTGCGAACGATATTTAAGCGTTCTCTGTGGTATGAATATTACGGAGCTTATTTAAAAGTTAGCAGGGCAGAAATAGGTCGAAAAGAATGATAGATATGATCGTAAGTAATTTAATGTTATGTTATGGCAGTTTTCTCGCCAAGTGTGAATTTTTAAAATCTGTTGTATATAAAACTTATTTACTTAATTTGTTTCAAACGATTTTTATTATATTTATGCGTTTGAAGGGGCTTTTCTGCCAGTAAAAATTCATTTTATATAAACTAATGTGATAACTGCAGCAAGAAAACAAGAAAATTTTACTTAAATTTGCTTGATTTAATGTTACTAATTTCTTGAGCAATAAAATCTATACATTCAATTAATATAGATAATTGTTAATATGGATTCTAAAATTATTTAAAGCTAAATACTTTCTTCTCAGGCTGGTCCTGTTGTTAAGTATTAATATTATTTTTTATACTCCAGGATAAAATAGTTTTTTTTTTTTAATGTTAAAATTTTTACAAAAATGCTAATCGAATTCGAACAGATACTTATCGATGAATATTATATTAAATTACTTTATAAAGTATTACAGATTACTTAAAATTAGTAGTGTAACATCTGAAATGAAAGAAATAATTGATTATTTTATATAATGGTCAATAATTTTACTGCGATTGTATTGCTTTTAACTGACTGCATTGCTTTTCGCTTGTATTATCATTGTTTGGAGTCTGGATTTATGTCTCAATAATAATGATTAGAATAATACATAAAAGTTGAGATTTTTTTTTAAATTTTTCTTTCTTTAAAAAAAAGTTTGCTGCAAATGACTACTAATTTTAAAAAAAATTGTAACAAAGTAGAGCAAAATTTTCGATATAATTATGTTGATATTTGTAATATTCCTTCTGAATTAATTTGATTTCCTTAAATTTTATAAGATTATTGTTCAAAACCACTGCGTCCTTTAATTAAAGATATAGATTTAAAGCAATTAAGAAAGATACTTAGGACGATGCTCATTTTTATTATTACATGAATAATATTGATTTTTTTTCCAGTTTTATTTTAATATAATATTCATTTGTTATTGTTATCGTTTTTACAAAAATTATTACAACTGTATTAAATTTACTGCTCAAATTCATTTTAGAAATGTTCATTATTACTGATTATATCATTGACTTAATATCACGTGTTATTATCCCAAATATGTTATAAATGTATAGATAAAATCTATTTTGTAAATACCGTGAGATGTACATTTCATATTTTTGTATTTTTGTGTACAAATTGTTCAAATGTAAATAAATTTCAGAAAATATAAAACGACCTTGATCTCATATTATTTGCACATTAAAAAAAAATGGTTTTACCAATTCTTAGCACTCCTTAAAAATCCTTTAAATCATGATAAATTGATAAAATAACATGATAAAATTATATTGACTTGATAAAATTTTTCCGTTTGTATATGAAAATGTTGGGCTCTGTAATGATAAGCCGCATCTTTAATTGTTCTAAAAAGTGTTTTTGATGAAGAATACTACAATTTCCATGCAGACAAGCTATTTCTGTATATAGTGCTGCTCTCTAGTGGATATTCTGGAAACTTGAAAAGTACTTATTCGGAAACAATACAAAACAATAGTTTGTAGTAAAAATGTCAATTTCGGAAAGAAACTAGGCTCATCAATTTATTGCCCCTGTCTAATACGCTACTTACCTTACATTTCACTTAAATAATTATTAAAATAAAATAAGTTATCAAGTTAATTTTCATGAACCAAATATTTTACGCTCTTCTTCATTAACGCATGACTCTACTTTTTAAAACTTTTTAACTGAAAGTTTTGATTTTACCCAAAATTCATTTCTTATGCGCACTCTGGTCTAGTTATAATTCCTTTTATATATATATAATGTTCGGCTGACCACCTAACCGGAACATCTGCTCCTGCACCCCAGAGCCCAAGGTCAAGAAAACTGAGATGGGCACAGTAGGTCTTGTCCTTCTATGGGCTGTTGCGCTACTGAGTTTAGTTTAGTGTATATATAAAATAAACGTTAATTTATAACGCATATATATTTAAGCTACTTGTTATTTAATATTTTATGTTCGTTGCTGCCAGCAATGTAATGGAAAGTGTGCAACATAAATGCATGGAATGGGATAAAATACATTCTACGAGTTTTAGTTTGTACAAACATTAGCATATATGCATGAAACGAATATTTGAAATTTTTTTAATTTTCATCTTTTATTGTACATAAATTATTTTCTAATTGTATAATGTAAAGTATTATATTTCATTGAAATATATGCCATGATGCTTACATAATTAGAGCAAATTTTAATTCTGTTATTTAAAATAAATTTTAGGATTTAAAAAAATAAATATATTGACTGTGCTTCTCTGTATTATCAACAGATGGCGGGACAATATGTTGCATCGAACGTTCTCGGCTTAGTGCGAATGCATTGATTTATACACTAATTTAACAAGGTTCCCATTGTCCTTGAGAATTTTAGTTGTGGTAGTAAATTAAGTTAATGCTAGAAAATATTTCTTATTTTAATATACCACTTTATCGTTAAGTGGTTTAACAAGCTGAAATCTTCATGCATGTATACTTCCTTCGGAGACAATTTTTTAGTGGTGATTACATAGAAATTTAACACGTTCACGCCGGGGTGACCCACCGGTGGGTCACGCTAGATTTTCTCATCTTGGCAGCGCACCGGAGTAAAAACTGGTAACAATAAATCTCTGTTTTTAGTTTTTTTTCCGGGAATAATAAAAATCCATAACTACCAATTGTTTTTAACGGATACAATTTTTACATTGAATTGCTTCTACGCCATGATAAATCTCCTTACAGTAAATTGTTATTGTTGAGAATAGACTGACTCCTCCCGAATATTATCTAATATTGAAATAGTTCTCCTACCAGTATTTTCTCTTTTCCCATACCAGTATTTTCACTTTTCCCGGCGTGAACGAGTTAAATATCGAGATTTGTTTTATTTTCGCTACCACTTTTAAAAATTTTCAAGGCCCGCAGAAACCCTGTTTAAATTGTCAAGTTTAGTTTGCCTATTTCTAAAAAAAAAAAAAAAAAGAAAAGGAAAGTTTATGAAATTTTTAGACGAAAATTTTTTAAAAAAATGGTTTAAGCTATCAAAAATACATATGAAGAAAAAATGTGAATAAAACAGAACATAATATAATAAATCACTTGGCAAGACATGCATAGTAAAAAAAATTGTGAATGAAAATTATGTTAATATCATTCCTTTGATCGTTGTCCTTTTTTTTATTGAATTTAAATAATATTCCTGATTTTTATTTTTTTGCAATGTCTTTTGGTTTTGTGATTTTTTCCCCCTCTATACTATTACGTTGTGAGCTTAGAAATGATTCTTAGATGACAATACAAATCTAGGAAAAGATAACCACAATTTTATCTTCTTTAAATAAACACAAGTTGAATAAAAATAATTTATAATACCATATTTAAACAGCTGATTTAAAGTGTTTTTTATTTCAACCAGAATGAGCGATGTTACATTTACCTTTCAAGCCTGAACGGAATTTTCCGAACCCCCTCTGATGTTTTTGAACAGATTCTCTCTGGACCAAGACGATCTATTAAGTTCAAAAAACTCCATTCCCATTGTCTACACGGGAAGATTTCCGTATCTGTGGCAGAATAATCGCCAAGTCTTGGCGACTTCCGGGCAGAGGCCCGCGAAAAACTCATAGAAAAAAAATCATAGAAAGGGGTCAACTCGAAAGGCATAAATTCGTAGCCACCCTCGGACAAACTGCAACATGTTTTTTGTTTTGTTTGTTTTTATTTAATTTGCAAGTTTAACCCCTTAACTTGTGCGCTCGAGTTAATTCGAGCGCTCTAGACAGGCCAAACTGTGCACACTCGAGATAATTCGAGCGGAATATGTGCTATAATTTTTCACACTCGAATATAATCGAGAATTGAAAATAATCATATGAAAGCTAAGAAAAAAAAATAGTGTTATTGATATTTATCATTTATATACGCATACCTGCCAATTCTCCCGGATTTTGCGGGAGAATTTATTTTCATATTTAAAGTGGTAGTAAATATATACTATTTTNATGATATGAAAGGATTGACTAGTTTTTTCTTTCTAATGAATCAAGTAGCAGTTTCACTACTGCTACGTGTATGAAAAAAAAGTATAACACTAAAGCAGCCGAATATTGGACTTACTCAACCCCTTGACTTGCGCGCTCGACCTAATTCGAGCGCGTTAAACAGGCTAAACTGTGCACACTTGAGATAATTCGAGCGGCGTTGTATTTTATGCTGCTATAATTTTTCACACTCTAATATAATCGAGAATTGAAAATAACAATGTGAAAGCTAAGAAAAAAAAATCGTTTTATTGATATTTATCATTTATATACGATTGTAAGTTGTAACACTTATTTATTCAACAATAAAATATACAAAGATGTCAACTTGCTCCGGACCGCAAAAATATATATTTTAAAGTGGTAGTTTATCAATTGTGATTCTTGGTTTAATGACTTCAATTTAGTAGATTTTTATCCACCACTATTTCTAAATAATTCGCAGGTTTATATTTTTCACCACTTTATAGTATTTTTGTCGTACCACACCATTTAAGAAACTAACAAGAATAGTCAATTATTTCCAAAATTTACATCGTAATTATTTACCGTTTCTTTTTTTAAATTATTTTGGCGTGTCCGGAGCATTTGGCATCTTTGAATATAGCCTTTTTCCATTGAACAATTTGGAGCAAGTTTTGTTCCATGGTTAATATTTAACTCACTACTACTCTATTAAAACTTTAACAGAAAGTGGCGTAGTTAGCTTCCCTGCATTTATTGAATTAATGTTGCCAGACTGGCTATACTGCACCGGAAAGGGTTAAAGACCATACGAACCTTGAAAAAGAAAATCTGTAAATACTTAAAAAGTTCTGATGCCAGCTAGGCCTGCATCTACAGAGATGCCAACTGCTCCGGACACGACAAAATAATTACAAAAACGGTAAACAAATACAAAGCAAATGTTGCAAATATTTGACTATTTTTGCTTGCTTTTTGAAAGGTATAGCATAACAAAAGAAGCATAAAGTGGTGAATTATATAATCCTACGTATTATTTAGAAATAGTGGTTGATAAAAATATACTAAATTGAATTTATTAAACCAAGAATCACAATTAATAAACTACCACTTGAAAATATATATTCGCTGTGCGGAGCAAGTTGGCATCTCTGCATCTATGGCTCTCAAATATTAGTACGCCATGCCTATCAGTTAAAGTTTTGAAAAGGACAACGAGCTGTCATTAATATTAATGCATAGATGCCAACTGCTCCGGACGTTCCATAATAATTTAAAAAACGGTAAACAACTACATGCTAAAATTTGCAAACATTTATCCAATTATGTTTACTTTTAAAACCGTGCTGCATGACGTAAATATAATAAAGTGGCGAATACTATAAGCCTTTGAATTATTTAGAAGTAGTGGTAGATGAAAACTTAATAAATTGAATCTATTAAACCAAGATTCGCACATTAGTCAACTACCACTCGAAAATATTTATTTGCTGTCCGGAGCAAGTTGGCATCTCTGTTAATGTTCGACAACAAATATCGCAATAATGATTAATTGTAAAATGGAATAACTTCAGCTACCACATTTTTATTAAAACTTTCATTTATATATTTACTTTTCATTTCTTTCCAGGTATGAGAAAATAATTACTCATTTTATTAGATTAAGTGTCTTTGTTGACACATGATTTCAACAGCGGTGTTAGTTTGCCAAACTTAGGGAGGAAATTTTATTTAGTTTTAAACTTACGTTAGGATGCTCATTTCTTAATTTAGCGCATTGAAGGCGGGTTACAAGTAAATTAGTTTTTAAAACTTTTATCAGCCATGCAAAAATTTTAGAAGTGGTAGCAGCAAAATTTCCTCGTTCCCGCTCTGTTCTTCAAAAATTCTGTTCGTGATTGCTACAAACATGATTCATCATCTATGTGATCACATACCTGCCAACTCTTCCGGATTTTCCGGAAGATTTTATTTTCATATTTAAAGTGCTAGCAATACTCAGGTTATTCCAATTAACTTTTTGAATTATAATGATAATTATGGAAGAGTCTGACCACCACTACATATAAATAATTACAATAAATATATGAAAGCATAATAATCTTTACGCAAGCAATTTTCAACGGGATCAAA